TCGTCAATGTCCGAATCACCTTCCAAATATTCATTTTTCAGAAAATTAGGACTATTTTCTAAATAATTATAATCCCCCAAGTTAACATGATTATTATTGACCTTGGCCCAATTTTTTTGATAGTAAAAGTAATGTTTAAAATTAATTACTTGCTTAGAAATACCATTGATTTTGGTTCAGAAATCAGCAAATTCTTTCTTCCGAACATTCATTATGTTTAAAACAAATCACAATAGAGCAAACCAGTGGAAAATACTAAAATTGGTTTGGGTTATTAATTCCATAAAATTTTTGACAGTTGCCGAACTATTAATCATAGCTTGATAAGCCCTAGCAAAACCTTCTGGTGAGCCAGTGAGGGCGTTATTATGAAATTTTTGTATGTTGCCGATAATAAAAGGAACCACTAAAATAATAATGGTTGAATAAATTAGTATCTTTCTGACATATCGATTTTGTCAAGAAAAAAATTTTTCTAGTTGGGGTTTTTTTAAGTTTTTTGAACGAGGAAACGGTTCTCAAGTATTATAAGTAATAAACAGTAAAGCCAAAATGACAGTAGCAATGCTAACGAAAGAGGCTGTTAACAAACAGGCACTAGCAATGTGGACCAGACTATTAATGATATATATTCATTGGTTATGAAGGTAAAAATTATTATTTTCAATATACCTATCCTTTTTTCACAAATATCAGTTAATTCCGAGAGCCAGAACATTCAAAACGACTATCACAGCCAAGAAAAAAATGGCATAATTGAGGATTTTGGTTTTCTCTGCTATTTTACCAGTGCCTAAAAAATATTGATTAAAATTTCTTTCTTTTCCCCAGACAAAATAGTAAATCTTCCCCAAAATGTCGGTTTCCAAATATTTTTTTCCTAAAATAATGAAAAAAATCGTAAAAAATATTCAAGAGATAGTTCTAAACAACAAATAGGAGGAAAAAAAATAGGGATAGTGAAATAACGCATTCTTTTTTTTCACCATAATAGAATATTTTAGCGATTTAACTATCCCG